AGAGGTCACGGTGACAGAGCTGCTTCCACTTACCGACCAGGTCTTCATGCAGCAACACTCGTGTGAGCCTGAGAGGGGTCCAGGCGGGCGGAAGCCAATGTGACCAGGGAGCTTTTCCTCCATGCCCAGCACTGCACGAAGCTTTCACTTATATCCACCAGTCTATGAGCTGTACTCCTATTCAACCCGTTTTTTACAGATGAGAAAACTAAGCCCTTGAGAGGTTAAAATAACAGTGAGTAAGTGGTGGGGATGAGACTTGATCCTAAGCAGTCTGGCTCCAGCGTCTGAGGTCATAACTGTTAATCATGGAGACTTCCAGCGAGACCAGGATGGCCGTAACCACCGAGGCTCTAGCAAGGCAAAGCTGCATGTCGTGTTTGCCTTTTGGTATCAACTTCTGTTGCCACAGCCCCAAATCCATCTCCAACTGTCCTTCTGCTTCTTTCTGGCTCCTCAACTGTACCCTTTTCCCCAGGACTTCTCTCCGCTAAAGTACCATTCTTCAAAAGGTATCTTTTCTTTCTCTCCTTCTGCGTCAAGATGAACTTTTCTTTTCTGTTCAGGCAGAAGGATCATCCTGTGTGAATAATAGCACGTTATGGTATGAACGGCTGACACTCAACTCTAGAAAAGTGGTTATTAAAAGAAAGAGCTTGGTGGGGTGAGGCAGATTCTTGCACCAGGTCAATTTCTTGATGTCCCTTGCCTGCTATTCTCCTCAGTCCAGCCTAGAAGGGTGAGGCCCAACATCTGAGCACCTCCTTTCTCTCCCACACCACTTGTGAGCTTCTACACAGATGCCAACCTCTGCTTAAGGGACATATAAAAGGTACATTTGGCCTAGTCTTTGTTCCATGTTTGACTTGGAAGCTTAGGGAAACAAAAAGGAATTAAGATGTGTGCTGAATTTTTAGGGAATAAAAGGCATTGGGGAGAGAGAAAGGAAAGGAACTTGGGAGAAATACTAAGAAAGTTCTGAATGTTTTTCTTCAAAAAGGGATTATTAGTGCATATTTTCGACTTGGACCCATAGTATGTAAGGGGATTAGGGCTTGTGGTTAAAGAGAAGGCTGTATTTTAAGTTAAAAACTAAGACACAGTACAAAGGAAAATGACTGGTCCAAATTACAATTCTGAGACTAAACTATAAACTCAGAAATATGCCATTTTTATATACTTTAATATTGCATATTCAAACTTGAGGTTTGAAAAGTGTGGGTTGGATTTGGTTCCCAGTACACTTGAGACAGCAAGATAAGCCACATTTCTGCATATGGAGGGAGGAGTTTGAGGCTTGTCTCAGTTACACTGGTTTAAAACCGAAATGCAAGACAAGTTGGTGAGGTCAGCGAAGAAAAAGAAGAGAATAAATCTTACATTTAAAATAAGAGAAAGTCACTCAAAATGTGTTGACTTACTTGAGTGTTGATGAAACTTTCTAGACCCTCAAGAATGGAAAGCAGTTAGGTTGATTTTTACATAAACTCAGGATTCTACAGTTCAAGAATACACACAGAACAAGAAAGAAATTCATATTTTCAATTTATCTTGTGGTGACAGCCAGATTTTAACTAACTAGTATAATGGTAAATGAATAATAATCCCAAGTGATATCTTTTGTGTTGCTCGAAAGATATGTTTTTAGTTTAACCAAAAATGATGACTTTTTAAAATTAAATGAGTTTTCCTTGTGAGTAAAGGATATGGGCTTGGACTCAGATAATGGGGTAGGAAGCGCTGAGCCTCTCGGGAGGTGGGCAGCCTACTCTACAGCTTCAGGGAGGCCCCTCCGCTTTTGCTTGTACTCCCCTACAGGCTGATACGTAAAATGGTCTTCTTTTGGCTTACAGCTTTACTTATTTTAAATATTTAAATGCCTCTAGAAAGGGAAATTCTTATTGATGTCCTTGAAAGGAAAATTGCACATATGCGACCTTCATCTTCCCCTTTGATGGCAGCTGTTGGAAATTGACCTCAGATTTCTTGCCCAGTGTGCCCAGTTCCAAGAACCTTCTCTTCAGCCTAGCTGTCCAGGAAGCCACTCTGCATCAATTAGACTTTAACAAGCGAGTTGACGCCTACTTGACACTCCTAGTTTGTATCTTATGTGAATGAGTTTACTGAACCTTCGAATCTGAGCAAATTTTAGAGTGAGAAAGGAAAGGAAGTATAAGGTTTCTTTATTTGAGGGGAAGACTAAGATGGTACCACCAAGGGTTTATAAACTTTGCCTGTAACTTTTTACAGAGGCAGACACACATATACATGTGCAGAGTATCTGCTACTAAGTTCCACATGCTTCTATTAGCACTTTATGTTTGTTATGGCATTTTTTCCTTCACAGTAGCTTTGGGGGAAAGAAGGAGGGGGAGAGACAAAGAGAGAGAGAGAGAGAGGGATCTCAATGTCAATGGTACAGTGGAGGAAACTGAGCCTCCATGATGTTAAAATGACCTGTCCAAGGTGGAAGAACCAGTAAGGACTGAGCTACAACATCGAGTTCCTATCTTTCCAGTATACTTTGCAATTTTATACATTGTTTCCAGAGTTATATAGAATTAGATCAGGATGTGTGGCTTAAGAATCTCCTCAAGGTAACCTGTATTTTCAGGGCCATGCGCCTTAGCAACAAAATTCAATATTAATTTGAGTGGACTAGGAATTGAAACTTCTATTTGTTTAACCTTCGTTATTTCTACCTGATGAACAATAATGCAATTCCTTGGAGAGGATGTAAAATCAAGATATTTTTCCCAGTATGGATCATATTTATCTAAATTTTTCTTAAACGTTTTCTTCTGTGATATTTGACTATTTGTGTTCAAGATTAAATTTTACAATTTCATTGCACATATTCTTCTGGTAAAATTAAATAAAATGCTTTGAGGGGAGATATTTTGTGATACACATAAATAACCCATACTGAAAAGAAATGACATTATTGAGGATGGCATAATCAATGATTTTTAGTAAGTTCTAGGTGTGAATTTCAGTAGCCTTACCGATGCAATTTGGTCAGCACCACCCTTTCCAAAGTGAGCTAACCGGCCATCCCTATATAGGGATCCAAACCTGTGGCCTTGGTGTTATCAGCACCACACTCTCCCAAGTGAGCCATGGGCCAGCCCTCAGATGCAATTTTGAAGTTATTGATTAGAGCAAGAGTTTTACCTGACCTTTTATATATAACAGACATAGAATTGATAATGTATTCGATCGTCACTGTATATATATATTCCTAATAAATACGGGGCCATTCTTCTTTTTTTATTTTATTTTATTTTTTGCTGGCTGGTACAGGGATCAAACCCCCGACCTTAGTGTTATTAGCACCATCATATAACCAACTGAGCTAACTGGCCAGCTTTCCATTTTACTTTTAATTTCAGTTGACCTCATGAGGGACAGTTTCAACATTCATTTGAAATCAGGAATAACAAATCTATTTGTATAGTGATTCTTCTATTTGTATAGTAAGTATTTATTGAGCATTTACTATAAGCCAACATTATTCTGCAGTCCTAGTTAGAATGCTGAAAAACTGACAACCAATGGTTGCTTGGTGTTGAGAAAGCCTTCCATGTCCTCTAGTCCACCCTCCTTGCACAGCCACAGTCTGTTCTGCAGTGTCCCTGACATAATCCACTGCAGCTCAAATGAGTCCTCTAATGCTCTCATGAATAATTACGCTTCTGTACCACTTAATAGGTACCAGGCCTGCTGTTGAGCACTTTACAGTAATCCATGTAATCCTGTCTACAACCCTATAAGGTAGAACTCCATTTTGTAGAACAGAAATTTGAGGCACAAAGAAGTTAAGAAACATGACCAAGATCCATAGCCAGTGAGTAGTTGAGCTAGGCTTTGAGCCTAGGCAGTCCTGCTCTGCATCAGCGTATTTAACCCGCAGTCAGGTGTCTGAGCTAGAAGCTCTTGTAGTCCAAGCAGAGCAAGTGAGTGTCTGAACAGAGGGGTGCAGTGTGAGTGAAGAGAAAGGGGCAGATCTGACAAACCCTCCACAGAGTAAACCAGGTCAGATGTGAGCTTGTATATAGATGATGAGCAGAAGAGACAGGCCAAAGATCCTCAGCTTTAAGGACTGAAGAAATGATGGTATACCCCTGGCCAATGGGGTATTCGAGACGGGAAACAGTTTAGGGGAAAGTCAGGAGCTCAGCCTTGACCCATTTCATCTAAGGTGATGGGGTCAACTTCAAGTTAATTGGTATGACACACAGATGTGACAAAAGGGCAAAACCGACAGCATGGCCTGGTGGACAAGCACAGGATGTGGGATGCAAAGAGGCAAATGCAAGCTTTGTGCCAATATTAGTGCTCCTGGGACTCTGTGCAAGGTGCTTCACTTTTCTGAGCCTCCACCTTTTTTCCTGCGATTAGTTTTCTCTCATTATTACTATGAGAAAGTTCAGGTTAAAGTGACAAGCCAAGGATGAGAAACGTAATTAAAGGCAGAATCAAGATTATATGCCTAAATGACTTATTTTTTAGAAAGTATTAATCTGAACAATATCTATTTGTGAGGAAAGGAATAATCGCACTATTTGAGCCAGAGCTAGGATGACCATACCATATGATCCAAACCAGGAGAGTGAAAGTGGGTACTACTAATAATAGACCAGAACAACAGGCATTCATAGCCACCAGAAGAAGTACTTCTGGAATATTCATGGTAAGAAACCTTAGCTTGTGGTTTGCAATTCTGAATGGAAATAATCCTGGGTGGAAGGAGTTGTATTCAGGACATGATTTCCAGCTGGGTTCCTTCCTTACAGACTGTGTCTGAGGACCAGTTCCCCTCCTACCTTTTCCTCAGCCCCATTCTCCACCCCCCTACTCTCCCTTGGCCCATGCACGACATTCCAGCCACTGTAATCATTCCATTGTTCAGAAGAAAAAGGAGTGACCTCACGGTGTTAATACATCTGGTGTCATCTCCACTGTGTCATGTTCGCTCATTTCTGACTGCTGCCTTGTAGTTGCTCCGCTCTGCTGCTGACTGGTCTGCTGGTATAAAGTACCATGAAGAGTCCATCCATGCTGCTTACGTCCACGTGATTGAGAACAGCAAGCACTACATCTATATCGAAGTAAGTCCTGCTTGTGTTAATTAATGTGAGAAACTGCCTTCCCATAAGTATCACAGAGACGGCAGGGTCCCCATCCTCAGGGCCTGCCATATTAATAAGTGTATGTCAAGATGTGAAGAGTGCTGGAGAAGTGTTGACTCATATCACCTGAATTTTCACCTCCCAGCATACCTGAAATTTGTTCTGCATTGTGATTAACTCAAGTCTCTAATGAGACTATCAAATTCTTTCTATTAAAATGCATCAACTCCCTGTAATGTTATTAGCCAGAAATTCCCCAACATGAATGTGCTAAGTTTGGTTCGACTTGGGTTGTAGGGTTTAAGTGTGAGGTACGTGCTATTTCAGGAGAGCACACACGGGGGTAACTTGCTCAGTAGAGACCACTGGATGCCACTGATTTGGATGTTGAAGTAGGGAGAGTACAGGGAAAAGAATATGGAAAAGAAAGATGCAAGAATATTAAAGGCTGGTACCATGCTTTTCAGTCCTATCTGAAGTACTATTCATTACCATGCTTTTTTGGATCCCAGAGTT